AGGATGTGGTCCTGGCTATCCCCTTGACAACGGGAAGTTTTGGGTGGAGGCAGACTCAAGCGAGGGTGTAGTAGGGGCCGTACTATCCCAGGAGCAGGACGGAAAATGGAGACCAGTAGCATTTCTTTTCAAATCGCTATTGGTCACCGAATGCAATTACAAAATCTACGATAAAGAGCTACTAGCCATCATGATTGCATTGGACGAGTGGAGGCACTACTTGATGGGGGCAAGAGAAGATTTCGAGATATGGATGGACCACTCGAACTTACAGTATTTCCGAAAGCCGCAGAAGCTTAACCGTCGACAGGCGAGATGGGTCACTGAACTAGCAGAATACCAATTCATGCTACATCACAAACCGGGTGCCCAAAATCGAAAGGCGGATCTACTGTCATGACGAGCCAATCACGACCAAGGAAAGGAGGACAATAAGGACATGGTGGTACTCAAGGCGGAACACTTCCGGGCACTTATCATGCCCACCGCAGAACAGCTTCAGGAGAAGATCAAGTTAGTCACCCATGACCCCCATTGGTGGGATAGAGGAATTTCAGATTCCCTCAACCATGAGAAAGGGATTACGTGGGAACAGGACTTACTTCTGTACGAAGGATGAATCTATATTCCCATGGATCGAAAGCTTCGAGGGGAAATCATCACCCTGAAACATGATCACATCACCGCAGGGCATCCAGGAATCGAGAAAACCAAAGAACTGATCCTCAGAGATTACTGGTGGCCCCGAATGCGCTGGGATGTAGAAGCCTACATAAAAGGGTGTGAAATCTGTCAAAGGACCAAGGCAGACCGGCGACCCAAACGAGCCCCCCTTCATCCAAATGAAGTACCTACTAAACCGTGGACCCACATCTCCATTGACATGATCACTAAACTCCCTGACTCGAAGGGGTATGACTCTATCCTGGTCATCGTTGACAGATTTTCCAAAACCATTATCCCGATCGCTTGCACTGAAGAGCTCACTTCCCTCGGCTTTGCTAAAATCCTATGAGACCAAGTGTATGTGCCATATGGAGTAATGCCCGAAAAAGTCATCTCAGACAGAGGAGACATATTTGTGTCCAAATTTATGAAGGAATTCTATGCCCTGATCCAAGTTACAGGCAACCCCTCAACTGCCTACCACCCTCAAATGGATGGACAGACAGAATGTGTCAATCAGGAAATAGAAAAGTACCTCAAGATGTTCGTGAACTATCGACAAGATGACTGGAGCGAGTGGCTACTGTTGGCCGCTTTCACCCATAACAATTGCAAACACTCTGCAATGGGTTTCTCCCCGTACAAAGTGGTATTCGGGAGGGATGGACAGGTAATCAAGACCACCCAACGTCCTGGCACCATTCTGGCCACCTCAAAACTAGTACAAGGAATTCAGGAAGTACAGGAGAAGGCAAAGGAGTCCTTAGAGAGGGCCACTGAATCCATGAAACGCACTTATGACAAAAACAAGATATCCGCCGTTGAGTACCAACCAGGTGATAAGGTTTGGCTAGACACCACCAACCTACGTCTCCCACGACTGGCATGGAAATTGGATGATCGACAAGTAGGACCCTTCAAAATCCTTGTGAAGAAGAGAGCATCATCATACAAATTGAAACTACCCGTAAAATGGAAAATCCATAATCGTTTCAATGAGGCATTGCTGACTCCCTACGTTGCACTCGCCTTCACCAATCAACCTCGACCTGAAAGGCCACCCCCAGAATTAATAGACAAGGAGGAACAATATGAAATTGAGGAGATCGTCGATCAAAGAGATAAAGTTGTAGGACAGGGAAGAAATCGTCGAACAATAACCGAATACCTCGTTAAATGGAAGGGCTACCCCAATGAGGAGAATTCCTGGGTGAAACACTCAGACATGGCCAATGCGGAGGAACTAGTCAACGAGTACGAAGAGCGAGTACAAAAGATACAATGGAGGATCTGAGAAGACGGGAAACTAGTCAGGACAGACGATAAAATCTCGCCTACACATCTACAATCAGATAGTGTAGTAGGGTATGCTGATCCAAACACCCCTTGCATCACTGACATAGTCACCATTCCGTCGTCCCAGTGCTCTGCCCCAGCCCACTCGGAAGAAATTGACAGGATAGTGGAAGACATCGCCATAAATTGGCATCCAGCCTTCAATCCAGAACTAGAAAAGGACTTTATTGAAGGAAGATGGACAAAAGTCACTACCGACAAGGCAGAGGGAATTCCCCAAATTGATGACAATGAGACGGACCTTCAAAACCTTCAACGCGTTCATGAGGATTGGGACTTCAGCGAAAATGGGGACGAGGACGACAGCATTGCCTACGTCACTGGTACAGAAAGCCAAGACACGGACAAGTCAGACTCTAATAACTCATTCGGGACGAACGAGTCTTAAGAGGGGGGTAATGTTATGGTTATTCATTTTCTTTCCTTTTGCTTACATGTTTTCTTCACGTCATATGCTTCTTTCTTGCAATCAGTATGGACGCATTCTCACAGTACTATTTTTAGGCATATCATTGTGTATTTAAGTAGAGCCTCAGCTGGTCTAAACCCCAGCTTCAGCTAAGGTTTAATCTACCCAACTCAAACTCCTTGTTTCGTGTCTATCTAAGTTTGCTCCTGCTCATTCCATACAAGCTTAGGCCTGCAAGTGTATCAATCCACCGAAGTGTGAGTGGCGATCCTCGTTTGATCTAGTTTGTAGAGTTGGTGGCTAACACGGCACCTCCTTTGTGTTGGTCTGCTGAGTCTTTTGTTCTTTAGGCCTGGATGGTGCCCTCTTTGCTGCAGTTGTCGTGCCAGATCCAGCCTTCTTGCTGTCTCGGGATCTTACTTTGTTTGGTGCATAAGCGAACCATCTGCCATCTGGTGGTCATCTGTGTCATTCAGGCCTCCTCTATGGACCAGGAACTCACATTTGGGGTCTTGAGATATTTCCTGGATGTCCTGATTTATTTCTTCAAGTGCGGAGAGCATATTATGGGTATAAAGTAGGTGGTAGAAGCAGAGTCATCATGGTAGGAAGGTAAGAAGGTGTACTTCCTAATCAAATAACACAAAAAAATAAACGCAATCAATTCTCAAGGTTTGCTGAAAGTGCTGTAACTCCGGGGGTGGAGGTTCAGGTTGTTGTTGATTTGGGAATTTGGGTGGTACATATGGAGTGAGGTAGACCTCGTTGAATCAGTTTATGAATCTTTCACCCCGTTGGTAATCATAACTCGTAGGCTGAGGCCCCTTTCTTTGTGAGGATTTTGAAGGGTCCTACTTGTTTGTTGTCCAATTTTTTGGCTGGTTGTGGTAAATTTAAATTGGTCACATCCAGCCATACCTTGTCACCTGGTTGATAGTCCCAACTGGGTTGTTGGTGACTATCATATGCTCATTTCATTGCTTCTGCTACTTTGGTAAGTGCAGCCTCTGCCCATTGCTGGGTTTTTTGTAGTCCTTCTACAAATGTGGCTACTGATGGGGTTTCGGTGCTTTGGGATATTACTGGTCGAATTTTTCCATCTTGTCCAAAGACGACTTTGTAGGGGGAATATCCCATTGCACTATGTTCTCAGTTATTCAGAGCATAGGCTGCTATGGATAACCATTCACTCCAATCGTCTTGTTTAAAGTTGATAAAGTTTTGCAGGTACTTTTCAAGTTCCTGGTTAACTCGCTCTATTTGTCCATCCGTTTGCAGGTGGTAGGCAGTAGAAGAATTGCCTTGGATATTCATTAGGGCATATAGTTCCCTTGTGAATTTGGATACGAATTGTGGACCACAGTCCAATATTATTTTTGATGGGGTGACTCCAAATCGGCAAATTATCTTGTCTCATAGGATTTTTGCCCATCTGGTAGATGCGATTTTCTTTGTGCATGGAATGAACATATTGTATTTGGAAAATCGGTCGACAACTACTAGGATGGCGTTGTTGCCTTTGGAGTCTGGTAACCCAGTGATGAGGTCGATGGATATGTGCTCCCATGGTCATGAGGGTATTGTGTTAGGGTGGAGTGGAGCAGAATGCCTTTGATTGTTTGGTTTGGTTCTTTGACAAACCTCACATCCTCGGACGTAATTGGTTACCTCTCAATGCATCCTGGGCCACCAATAATCTCGGAGTATTAGTTCTTGGGTTTTAGCTACTCCAGGGTGTCCAGTGGTGATGTGATCATGGGCATAGGAGATGAGTTCTCCTCACAGGGAATGATCTCTAGGGATGTAAATCCTTCCATCATAGTACAACAGTTTTCCCTTCTGTTGGACCTGTTAGGATCATGCCAATAGGATTGCAGCAGTAAGTGCACGTAGCGGAATGCCGCAGGAGGCATCAGGTGTAGGCAAAGCTATTAGCAACGTCACCCCTGAGCCGAAGCCCTAAGATGGATACAGATGGAAGTCCGCGGAGTGGCAGGGACGAGGTAAGAGATAAGTCCAATGGACCGGAGTTCCGCAGACTGGAGAACGAGAGTGTGACTTAAGAGTCAGAGAGAGAGATTGGGCTGAACCAAGTTGATATTTGAACTGAGTATCTACAGTGTAATTCCAAGGCTTATATACTAGTTAGGAGTCCGATCTAGTTCCTACTCAGAGTGGTCTACATTCTAGGGTTGTCAGAGGATGTATTCTACCAGTCAGTAGCCGATGGGGTCCGATGACATGTTTGCTACCAATGTCGGGCTATTGATAAATTGTAATGGAAGTGAAATATAAAATGGAATATGAAATGGAATATGAAATAGAAACTGGGAATCGGAGTCCGTAGGATTCCGGGCTGTAGTTTGTTGGGTTGAGTGGAAGTCGGGTTTCCGTCGGCATGCTCGTTACAGTATCCCCCCCTTAGCGTTCTTGCCCTCAAGGACGCAGATCCCGATGGCCGAGTGTGACCGCATGGAATTTTTTCAGGTTGGTCATGTGGCTTTTCACCTCTTAGCTTCCTACCATCACCATCTCCTCTATTTTCTGAATTTTGTCCTCATTGTTCGTCATGTCGTCAACCATTGAGTACCGTGTTTCCATGATGCCCGAACCATATGAGCCTGCCCCTATGCCCGAAGATATTCGTCCTGAAGACCTGGAAGCCTTTTATGACAAGCGGGATGCCATGGAGAAAGCTAGGGAGGATGCCGTGGAGGCTCATGAGGCCTGGAAAGCACAGAAACAAAAGGAGGAAAAGAGGCAGGCTCTGGAGTTGGAACAGCGAGAGAAAAAATTGGGGCAGGAGAGGAAGGTTGCGGAGGCCAAAGCAAGGAAGGAGAGGGAGGACCGGGAGGCCACAGAGAAGAAACGGCAAGAGGAGGCAGAGGCTAAGGCAGAGGCAGCTGCCGTGGAGCAGCGGAGGTTGGAAGAGGAGGCCAGGGCCTTGGAGGAAAGGAGGGCCATGGAGAAGAAGAAGTTAGAAGGTGAGGCCAAGGCCAAGGCTTTGGTGGAAGCTAGCAAGGCCACGGAGGCAGAGAAGGAGAAGGAGAAGGTAGATGGGAATGAGGGGAGCAAGGTTGGTAGTGGGTCCGACAGAGATGACGAGCGGGAGAAGGACCCGAAGGGGAAGGCATTGAAAAAATTGGTGAAGCAGAGGAAGGATAGGAAGGGTAAGGGCAAGGTGACCGATTCAGAGGCTGTGGACGTTTCGAGAAAGTGTAAGATCAAGTCTAGTGCAGTGGTGGTCAGTGGGGAAGAGGAAGTCATGGGGCCGTCGGGAAGGCCTTTGAAGAAATTGAAGACTGAGCCTGAGATGCAGGCGGACGACGAAGAATATAAGGGTAATGGTAAGTTACTTCCATAGGGTCCCGTAGCTTATGCTATTATGACTTTACCCCTATTTTCCTTATCTTATCTTATCCTTATCTCTCAGAACCCCGGACCTGCCTATCTTATCTCCCGGACTCATGATATTCTGCCAGCACACTCTTTACCCAGTTACCCAGCTGCTGTCACCCCAGTTCACACTGCCGCCTCCCAGATGACCAGTGACCCACATGTGCCATCACACTTCTCTTGATGGCATCATGCTTCTTAGTAGTTGGACGAGAGTCGACCACCAGTCGAGGGTGGTCTACGGGATGCAGCCTATTCAGACGGAGTCCCGTGCAGACGCAGGTGATATGTGCTCTTTACTCTCATTCGTCGGGAGCATACTTCTTTTAGTGTCCTCCCTCCTCATTCGTTGAAAGACGCACTTCTCGTTGCACATGCCCTGGTAGATACTATTCTTAGTACGAGTCTAACATGTATTTAAGCTAGCCTATGCTGTGGCCTTAGACCCCAGCTTCGGCTAAGGTTATATACTCCTAACTCTTACAAGCTCCTTGCTTTCGCTATAAGTGATGCCTAACTTCTCGCAATCTACCAACACCTCTCTAACACTGAATCACTGAACACGAGTGACAGGATAGAGACCAGCCTTGGCGAAGGTTCGAGTTAGTGCTTAACACCCAGAAAACCCAATTCCCGACACCACCTGGGCACCTTCCAGCATCTTAGGACTGGAAGCAGCAGGAGGAGGCACCTTCCATGCCCATGGTATGGGTGGAGAACTCTCACAATCCACGCCAGCAGGAGGAACAGGTGAACCAGCACCTGCTGCTCCTGCAGGAGGTGGCAGTGGAGGACCAGGAGGGAGTGGCAGAGGAGGACCTCCACCCATACCACCTCAACCTCTGGTGCAACCACTGTCACCCCATAGTGATCAAAATCTCTGATCACTACCATGACCTGCCAACCCCCCTCTACTGCCTGATCCACTGGTTGGATGGGTTATTGCTGATGGACAACCTAACTCCTGGAGAAACGTGAAGCCAACGTTAATAGAGGTCCCTGACAAATTCCATAGGAAGGCCAGTGACCTGGATCACTTCTTTAATCACTGCAAATACTACTTTGAGGTCTTTACCCAATACTTTGTGCTTAACGAAGCATATAGGTACGGCCCGAGCTGAGTAGTTTTCACAGCCCACCGGTTTGGTGGGGAAGCGATGACCTGGTGGGTCCATCAGCAATGACACTACAAGGATCCACACAGTGGGAGGCATTGCCTTCCCTCCTGGGAAACCTTTCAAGAAAACATCCAAACACGTTTCAGAGAGGTAGCGGACGTCCAAATCAAGCAGATGCAATGGAAAAAACTGCAACAGGCACAGTTTAAAACAGCCATCAAATTCTTTGAGAAGTTTGAACAACTGGCAGTGGAGGCTGAATGCTTCCACAACGACGAGGAAATGGAGCAAGTCGTTGCCCTCGCAATCTGGCCCAATATCAAACAGATTATTATGGGTGGAGACAATATGCAGCCTACCACCTACTGGGAGTGGAGGTATAGGGTCCTACAAATGGATGAGAACTACTGAGTTCATCTCGCCCAAGGTGGGAAGTATCCCAGCGGGACTGCTGGTTCCAAGCCCAGAACAGCGGGGGGCTCTTCAAGTGGCTCGAAGAGCAGAAGGGATGCCACTGGATTCACCTATGGCGGTGAAGGCGAACCTATGGACATTGATTGTCTCAAAAGAGAAAAGCGATGTTTCCGGTGCGGACACACCAGACACCAGGGGCAGGACAATAAGTGCCTGCCTGACAAGTTGAAGTGGTTGAAATTCCCAAAGAAAAAGCCATCGACTTTTGCAACCTGTCTCAGAGCCATCCTAGCAGAAATAGAGGAAGAAGACCTTGCTAGCTCGACCAAAGTCGAGGAGATAAAAGAGATGCCGGCATAGGACTCTGTGATTCTACTTCGTCGGCTAGGGTTTATCATGGTGCACCTTATGACATGAATATTCATGCTTATGCTGTATCTGTAGATACTTGTAACAATATACCGCATTCGTCTCTCACCATGAAGGAATCGCAAGACAAGAACAGTGTAGCAGGGGATTACCACCGCCCATTGGGCAATGAACCCTGAGGGTCAGGCATGAAAGGGTTGGACCCAACTAGCAACTTGAGGCCATACCAGTGTGAGACAGATCTCGATCAGTCGATCGAGGATCCAGAAGCAACTCTTGATCATTCGATCAGGAACCTGGATCGAGTTCTCGATCAATGGATCAAGAGTCCAGGTACAACCAGGAACGAAGCCCAGGATCGATGGGGCTCCTCACACCTGTCCCAGCCATCCAATGCTTATTTAAAAGCAGGAGAGGGACCCTCGAGTTTGCCCATTAACAGCGTACACAGGATTTCTGCTGCTTTCACTAGCAATGAACCCCACCAGTCAAGTCCTAGTACTGGCAGTACCAGCTGTGTCCAAGCCACTGCAAATACCCCTTTGGGGCACACGTACGATGCAGCGGAGCCTACCAGTTCGACAGGCAACCAAGGGTGGAACCTTGGGGGTGCGACGTCGTTGTTCCCTGCAGGCGACATCTGCCATATGGGAGGTCAAAATGAGGACTATGTAGTCCAACTCCTGAGAAAGTCATGTATAGTGGCAGTGGATCCAGACGATGGTGAACTGGCATCTTCTCCATGCACCAAGGTTCCCCGATGACAGACCACTTCAGTGATGGTGAGGTCGGAGAATCCAGGCAAGCCTAGGGACGAAGCTGACAGCCAATGGAGCCTAGCAGACCCAATGGCAGACTGTTGTAAAGCCTCAGGAGACAACCCAGCACCACACGTGGAACCAAGTAGAAAGGATACCCAGGAAACGGCCACCTCTATCACAGAGGACACCGGCTGAAAAAGCTCAATCGCCCACAAGGATCAAGTGGGCCGAACAGGGGAGAGAGGCTCCCCTTCCCAGGTATGTACCTCCTTGAAGGATGGCACTAATAGTGAAAGCAACCCTAGTTATTTAAAGAGTTTATGGAACTCTCCAAAATCCAGTGAAGTCCCAACTAACCCGAGTGGGTGTCCACACCGAGGTGAAAGGGAACTGACCAGTCGCACGGTCATAGGAGCAGGGCCTTTGCAGCCTATGGACTGCGACAATGAGAGAAAGACCCCGATATCTCCTGTATCAGTGGAGTACTCTCAGGACTCCCAATGGCTAAAGCCCTTCGGAGCTGCCTGGACCCGACAAGCCATGCGACTTGCCAAGACTCCAGGAGAGAAGATGTCACTTCTCAAACAGTGGGTCCACCCCCGACAACAGGCAGAGGTGGATGAGCTGCTAGTTACCGACTTGGAGAACCAAGTCGGGGAGTCCTATCTGGACGAATATCGAAAGCTGGAACATATGGACCAGCTTACCAAACCACCCCAGTACGTCTGAGGAGTGAAGATGCAAAATATCACAATCACCCTACAACTTGAGACCATTGACACTATGGCCCATCACTCTGTGAAAGCCCTGATTGACAGTGGCTGTACTGGAAGCACTATTGACTGACAGTGGACCCGTGATCATGGTATTACCATGCATAAAGCGGCTCACCCCACTCTGGTCTATAATGTGGATGGTACTCGTAACAAAGGCAGCGACATCACCAAATTCGCTGAGGTCCGACTTAAGATCAGGGACCACAGCGAATGTATCGAACTAGCAGTTGTTGACCTAGGAACAACACCCATCTTCCTAGGACACAACTGGCTACAAAGGCACAACCCACTTATCGACTGGAACACAGGTTCAGTAACCTTAGCATGCTGTGACTGTCGCAAGGTACCGTTCCGACTCCCAGACGAGGACCCACAATAGCAGTGGGGAACCAAAGTCGAGGATGGGGACACCATCCTCATCATAGACTTTGAGGAAGCCTTTCATATATGAGCAGTGGGGCATAAAGCCAATGACCTAGCAGCCAAGGCCTATGAGAGAAAGGAAGTAAAGTCGTTCGAGGAAATCGTACCCAAACATTACCAAGACTTCATCAATGTTTTTGCTAAGGAAAACTTTGATGAACTTCCCCCTCGCAAACCTTGGGACCATGCCATTGAACTTATTCCCAATGCTAATGCCAGTTTGGACTGCAAGATATACCCCTTAAACCCAAAGGAGCAGGAGGAGTTGGACAAATTCCTTGATGAAAACCTGGCCACCAGCCGAATTCTACCCTCCAAGTCCCCTATGGCATCTCCCTTTTTCTTTGTTAAGAAAAAGGATGGAAAGCTGCAGCCAGTACAAGACTACCGTAAGCTTAATGAAATAACCATCGAAAACTGCTACCCTCTACCACTTATCTCCGACCTTATGGATAAGCTAAAGGATGCGAGGTATTTCACTAAGCTAGACGTCCGTTGGGGATACAACAATGTTCAAATCAAGAAGGGAGACAAATTCAAGGCCACATTTCGCACTAACCGGGGGCTCTACGAGCCCATGTTTATGTTCTTTGGGCTAACCAATTCGCCCACCACGTTCCAGTGGATGATGAATGATATCTTCAAGGATCTCATTGCTCAGGGAAAGGTCACCATTTATTTGGATGATATTCTCATCTTCACAAAGGACAAGGCGGAACACCAAAGAATCATGCGGGAAGTCCTGAAAATTCTGCGAAAGAACAAATTGATCTTGAAGGCAGAAAAATGTGAGTTCGAGGTACTCGAAACAGAGTACCTTGGAGTCATCATCAGCAAAGGGTCCATTAAAATGGACCCGATGAAAATCACTGGCATTATGGACTGGCCAGCACCCTCCAAGAAACAGGAACTACAATCGTTCCTGGGATTCACCAATTTCTATTGATGATTCATCTGGCATTATAGTGCAATTGTCAAGCCAATGACAAAACTCACAGGGAAGGTCCCTTGGACCTGGGGAAAAGAGCAACAA